GGGGCTTGTCAATTTTTCCATATAAAAGGGTCGAATTTTGAATTTTCGGAATTTTGAATTTTTGCATTTTCGAATTTCCGAATTTTAACCTTTTTGAACGTTATTAAAATTTTGTAAATAATTCCTTTGACTTGCTTTCCGTCATAACTTTCTTTAATGCTTCCTTGAACTCTTCTTTGATTTCTATAGTTTTTCGTCATGGTCTTTCTTTAACTCCTCTTTGATTCTAAAGGTATAGTTTTCGCCATAGCCTTCTTTTGACTTTGCCGAGGATACAATTTATCATCATAACCTTTCTTGAACGCTTCTTTATTCTCACATTACAATTATTTTAAAAGTATAGTTTTTAGTTATAGTCTCCCTTGAATGCTTCCTAGTTCTCGAAAGTATAATCTTTTGTCATAGCCTTCCTTGAACTTTTCATTGATTCAAGAAGCATAACTTTCGTCATAGCTTTTCTTGAACTTTCCATTGATTCTAGTAGTATAATTTTCGTCATAGCCTTTTTTGAACTTTTCTTTGATCTCGAAAGTATAGTCTTTCGTCATAGCCTTCCTTGAACGCTTCTTTGTTTCCAAGGTGACAGTTTCACTTCGTTTTCCTTTTGTCGTGTCTAGGCTTTCTTCCTTTCGTCATTATCCTTACAGGTGGTGAACTCCTGACGTCTTTTGGTGGCGATGGTATTTCCTTTCGTTCGGTGGCTATAGTGTTAATTCTTCCTTTTGTCCCCTGGCGGCTACGGTATTAATTCTTCCTTTCGTTTTTTAATGGCTATAGTGTTTACTCTTCCTTCCGTCTTTTGATAGCTATGATGTTAATCCTTTCTTTCGTCCCTATCCTTTCATTTACAGGTAACGTTCCTCTTACCATATATCCCGTTTTTTCCACTTTAAATGAGTATGCTTCTTGGCCTCAGCTCTCTTGATCAAAATACTTAATTCCACATAGGTTCTTGACACTAATCTTCTCAGCAAGAGATATGATGATCTGTTTGCCAATTAGTGTCCTGTCGTCGTCGCCAAATTGCGAGCGTGCAATCCGAGTTACCTATCGCAATAGGTTATTTAACTATTCAACACACAGCTAGGTCTCTTACCTACCGTTTTACAGTTGACTTCCTTTATCTCTTGGATAAAAGGCTAATTACTTTGACACACAGTCAGCAGTCCTTCGCTACTGTTTTACAGTCAACTTCTTTTATCTCTTTGGATAAAAGGCTAATTACTTTGACACACAGTCAGCAGTCCTTCGCTACTGTTTTACAGTCAACTTC